TCTTTTGCCATGTCTGCTTCAATCCCACCTATCACAGCACACAAAAATAAAATTGATGTTATTTTGGATGAACAGCTTGTGTTGACCAATAATAGAGAGATTCAGTACTTTCTTGTTCGTTGGATGGATCAACTTGATTCTGACGGTACATGGATTCCCAAAGAGAGACTTCAGCAGTGTGAGCCAAATTTATTGGAGCTTTATAAGAGTCAGCAAAATTCTCACTCGCCTAAGTTATCTTGGTCAGCTCATGTTTTTGCGGGTAATTTGCAATTGGCATCGTCACCATTTGTGGAATTTCGATATTTGGTTCGTCAGAAAGATCGTCCCCCATGGCATGACTTGGAGCCTTTAGCATCAGATTCATTGCAACATTTTGATTTATCCACTCGACGGGGTCGAGTTTTTCTCCCACCCCGGGAGAGTTGATGCGGACATCCATTTACTATTTATTTTCTTCCATTTACTATTTATTTTCTTTTTGGACTATTAGTTATATTCTATTTGGATTATTATTTATATTTCTGTTATTGGGCTTGTTTAGTGGGTTTGGCCCAAGCCCTTCTCTTTAGGGTTTGTGTTCTACTATTTATTTCTGTTTTGTTTCTCATTTGAGACAGTTGATGATGAATTAAATTGAAATATTTTTGGTGGCTTGCAGTCGTTTTCTCCCTCCCCTCTCTTCCCCTGGTTTCTTCTCCTCTTCTCCCTTCCCTCTGTTTCTCCTTCCCGTTCCTTCTTCTTTATTTCTTACCCATCCTACATCACTGTTCATCATGATACCCTTTCTCTTATTAGTTTCTCCTCCTTTTGGAAACAAGAAAAGCCCTATCCATTTTGTTTTCAATCCAATAAATGATAAATTATGGGTTGAGGTACATACTTGGACATACGATCAAAGAATTCCAATTCGGTCACTTTGTCCTTTGTAGCACCTAGTTTTTCTTTCACAAATTACGACCCACATGTTCTATAAATGAGTGGTAATCTGGAGCTAGGATTCTTTCAGACATGGCAAACAAAATTGAAAATGTATTCAGAATTTGTCATTGGCAAAAGATCACAGGTATTGACAAATTAAGGAAGCAATCTTGATGCATTTCTAAATGCGTGTTCAATGGCCATTAGCTTTAAACAAGAAAGCTACTAACAGGTATAGAAACAATAAATGAGGGACAGGTACAAATACAATAATTTACTTTCAGTCATAAGAAGATGATTGTGACTAAAACAACTTGGAGTTGAAACGATTCTATTAAATATTATATCATGATATTTTTTATGTGAGACAAGCAGAGAATGTTGTACTTTCTCATGATCTGAATTCTAATCTAAATTTCTTCAGGCATAAAGTCTTCCAATCTACGTACAACAGGGCCAAAGAAGAAGATCATAAAATGTTCTAGTAGAAAAGAAAAACGAGTCCAACATTTTTCCAGAAGTCAAGATATCTTTTTCACTTTTTTCAGGAAAGGGAGTCACTCAACTAGGGTTTCATTATCCTTAAAGCACGTAAGTAGTCTGCTATGTACTAGAACTGCCATATTACAACAGGCCAAGCATAAATTGCATGGGCAGTTCATGATCACAAAAGGTCAAGCTTTACTGAGTAGGGCAGCAACCAACTAGATCATATGAGATGACATATTAGAGCCCTGCTGTTCTCCTATGTCTCAGGCATGTTCATCAGAGCACATCAAATTAATGAAAAGTTGGCCAGAGAAACAGAGAATAAGTCCTATAGCTTTTGAAAACAAAATGTTATGGAATAGTTTGCTACCATGGGCAAAGCAGGATTAGAAGATCCAGCTGTCTGCTCTGGTTTATGTAGATTGGGGTCAAACAAAGGCACTTGTGATCCCATCCAAACGGTTGATTTATTGGCATCCATATTATTTAAGCCACTAGCTTCCAATACAACAGATGCATCCTGAATATCATTCTTTTTTTGGGAGCCTTCGCAATCCATCAACCTATTATCAGTGATGCTCATTGAACCCATCCCCTGCTCACAAGTGGAATCTCCAACTGAAGGGGAATCTAACAGAAACGACCAGATTGCAGAAAGTTCTGCAGCTGAAGGGCAGCCAGAGTAACTATTAACCATTAGTCTCTTGTGTGCAGGACTTGTATCTGAGCCAGAATGCGCTGTCCAATCACAATTCTGACAAAGAGATACCCTCTCATCAATACATCTGACGTATGCCGGTTGGGTGTTGCATCTTTCACATACAAGTGTCCTTGAATGACGTCTTGAAAGGGCATTAGCAGAATGGACATTATGGTCACAAGACAAACATAAGCTAGCTGCATCAGACCTACAATATACAGTGGATCTTTGCTCCGCACAGAAATCACATACATAACCCATACTTCAACAAATTCTTATTCTCAATCAAACAACTCCCTTCAACACTGCATTCTGTGAACGTTCAGCCAAACAATTGAATAAAACTGACAAAAGGCAGACTTTTAGAAGATAATAAACATGTTGTTTTTACAGGGATACAATTGAAGTCGAAGAACATCCCAGCACTTTCTTCATTGTCTGGTGAACGAGTCTACATTAATAGGTGAAAACGAAAATCATGACAAATGGAAATAATAAAATAAGAGCATCAATGAAGAAAAGTATTTTAAAAAACAACAGAAATTTAACTATCTGATACCTGCACAGGATAGAAAAGGGTACTGGGGCTAGGCTAGTAATGAAATCTACCTTTGCAAAACAGTGGAAGAAAGGGATTTTGCAAGCCAAAAATATGATTAACTAAAATTCCCACTCTGCCAGAACAAATTCTCTGATGATACGTATCACAATTTAAAATGTTATATTATAATAATATTAATACTAAATGATAAAGGACCTATTCAGAATAAAAAGGGGGAACGTATTCCAACATGTTAGGAATCAATAATCAAGAATTCGAACGAAAAGTGAGAACTGAAAAATCCAACTTAAAGTAAAACGAAAACTCCAAGGCACCCAAAGTTAGATTCCCCTACAATTTTTCTCAAAGAGCTTAAAGATAATAAGCAACCCACAAAGAAAAGCAAGTCCATTCCCAAAATGGTCTGAATTTACCTAATTCAGCAGGGAAGGCAGCCAAAACACTAAGTAGTACACCAGGAAAGCAAAGTTGGGAAGTTCTTTTCAGCAATCTTCATAGAACCCTAAAAACAGAGAAGATCTGACCTTTCCAGAAGTGCGGGATAAGTGCTGTGTGGCTTCTTGTTCCGTTGAACTGTGAATTCTGACAACATTTAAAAATAAAATAATGATAAAGGACATGAAAAGTGCAAGAGAGAGAGAGAATCGGGATTTTAACGTGGGACCTGTCCTTTCATGACATGGAAAAGTTAAGCCCCTCTGTGGACCCCCACCAAAATATCTTTAGTCGCTGTATGTATAGAATTTTAGGAGATTTCAAAAAAAATTATGAAATTCGTGATTAAAAAATTGTGGATCTTATCAAATATATTGTTAAAATTAAATGTTAATTTTAATTTAGATTAAAATCCAAATTTTAATTTTAATTTCTTTCAAATAGGATTTTTCTTCTTTTTAACTTTTTGGGTCAAATTATTTAGACAAATAAATCGAGTGATACTATTCATTGTTTTGTTATTGATGGCTATATTTACGACGGACCTCTTGATATATCGTTCACCCATCACTTAAACTGATAATTATGAATAACATTCTTAGAATAATCATTATGAATAACATTATTCGGCGATATGTTTTACACTTAGCTCCATTTGATATCGTTAAAAATTAAAATTAAAATCAACAATTAATTTTAACAACACATTTTACAAGATTTATAACTTTTCAATCCCACATTTCATTAATTTTTATCAAAATCTTTTCATGATTTTAATCTCTACCAAAAAGAAGCTTAATATAGGTAAAAAGGAAGGCAGAAGGGGTAAGAATAAAAAGAAAGAAAACATATTTGAAATTGAAAATTTTGTATTGTCTAGTAATCGAATACAAAGAGTTTTATTCACTCATATTTTAGGGTTTGAGTTTGAGAACTTTAGGCTTTGAAATAGTGACATTTTGTTAGGGTCTAGATAAGCTCTATGTTCATGTCTTTGAGGTTGGATGGCACTACGCAATACGATACACGAATTCTTAATAAATTCGTATTCCAAAGAGTCCACAAAAAAAAAAAAAAAAAAAAAAAAACAAGATTTTGAATATAAGAAAAGTGGAAGGACCAGGGCCCTTCTTAAATTGGTGGATTTTACGGGCTCAAGGAATCAGCTAATTGGTTGGGGGCCCAAGACACAATAAATTCTTATAGCTCATGCTCTATTAGCACGAGGGAAGTGCTGGACGGAAGGGCCATGTTGGCCCTGTCCAAAAAGATTTATTCATTAGCATGATCTATCTATATTCAACTCTTTCCTAGCTGGACATTTTCATTATTATTTGGGAAGTTCGTTAAGTTCTCAATATGAACTCTTAAGGTATAACTTATAAGTCATTATAAAAGCTTTGTGCATCATCAAAAGTTAACAAATTTGACCTTTAAGATCAACAATTCGATAATCCATCCTGACCACCCATAAGACCATAACCATATGTAAGCATAAAAGACTATTTTAACCCTCAGAGTCATATTTTTCCTTTCTTTAAATCGCATTTTTGTTTAATATTAAGAGTTTGTTTGGTATAGCTATTAGTCAAATTAAAATCAATTTTTTGACCATTATTTCACTATTTCAGTCGTCATTTTTGAATTATTCTCTCACAGGTAAGACCCACTTTATCTTTAACGGTCAAAAAATCAATTATCAAAATTTCTACCAAACAAGCACTAAAGTCACTAATTCGATTTCGAACACTCACATTGATTTGTGTGCTAATTTAAATCATCCAATTGATCTTTTAAAATTAATTTAATTTATCATCTTTACGTTGAATTAAATTTCATGGTATTAGCATAGCGAATGCACGAGTATTTGTACTTAAAATCTTGTCTCGTCTACGGTCCACACAGGTCGTAGGTGAAAATATGCATTAGGCGCTATATCAATAGAGACGAGCTCGGATAAAAAAAATATTAATTTTTTTTTTTATAATAACTTTATTTTAAAAGCATGAGTTTATTTTTTAAAATATAATTTATTTCATTAGTTGGCTTTCTAAATTATATTGAATTTAGTATTGTAATTCTATTTGCTATTGACCATGTAACTGAAGATGGACTCTAATATTATGGACACTACGAAGCCTTTTGTGATGGAATAATTTTATGGAAAAATACATGGATACAAAAGTTTCTCTTTCAAAAATAAAAATTTTAAAAACCGAATGGTCACGTTTGTGATTGCTTGATAACATGTCAAGTTCACAATAACGAGTCAATGTCACAATTACACACAATTATGGTCAAGTGATAAGTTACAAGAAATCACACTCAACACAAATTGTGAGTCACAGTTACAAATTTAGTCTTAATCACATAATTTTTTAGGTCACATATTATTTATTAATCACAAATTATCCATTTTGTAGTCACATGTTATCTATTAGTCACAAATTACTCATTTTATTATTTACAATCATCCAAATAATAGATCACAAATGCTTTTCATCTTCCACCACCCCTAACACCACCATAGGTCACGCCATCTCACCACCACAAACAACACACAACCATACCACCAACCACCACCACATGCACCCCACGCCTACCCACTACACCAGCACCACCACACAAATCCACAGTACACACAAATCACCACGACGTATCACACACCACCTCACCACTACAGATTCACACCCTTCTTTGCTTTCACACACTCAAATCCACAATCACCATGAAAGCAAGCGAAAACGAGCGTTGCTCTCACCATGGTCCAATGCTACACAAACGTACTATCCCAACGCTAGAGAGAGTTAACTCAATGAGTTGGGACAAGATGAACCAATGATTCCAAGTCAATTGTTTTGTCAAGATGATTGTAGACATAGCACAAGCATGTGAGGGGATGAAGAAAGAAGGTCATAATTTGAAAATTATTGAACTTGTAGAATTCTTTCAAAAATCTGGTCATAAATTAATATTATATTTTTTAATTTGATAAATATAGGAATTTAAATAAGAGAATAATGTAATTATAATCACTTCTTAAAAAAATGGCAATCAGTTATCTTCCTCCTCAACGTTCTCACAAATTCTAATACAGAAAATAGAATTTTAGACTTCAATGACATGATCATACAAAAATAGATGAAAAAATTGACTACAAATTCCCAACTTGATTTTTCCAGAATAATTATTTTCTATGTATCCATAGGTTCTCCAGAATCCACAATTTTAGCATCATTTTATATTTCTTAGTGAAGCACAAAATTGAACAATCGTTTGTAAACAATTATTCAGTTTATAGGTTGATAACCGCAATATTTTCCAGTAATTTTGTTGTACAAAAATTTTGTAATTATGACCTAACACCTTTGTGATTGTAACTTCTAAGTTGTGTGATTGTGACTCCCAGTCACGAAATAGTGAAATCTAGAGCTTCAAGTATGTATATACAATTTAAGTATATGATTTAAGACACGCGTCTTTGGAAAATTATCATTTTATGAGACGATAATAATTATGTTGTTTTGCTGCGACCTATGAGTTGTGATTCTAACACAAAACATTTGCGATGCGTTATGTTATGTTATTAATGACATATTATATTGTGTCATTTTGACCTAGAAGATTATATCAGAGTCATTCATAAAATATATAATATTATTTCAGGGCTTCAGGGCATCAATGTGTCCTCAAATACATTTCTTTGAAAATTGTATTTCTGCTACAATGTGACATGATTTAAAAGATGAATGCTTCATTTAAAACGTGTCAATAATCTAATTTACACTCTCCGGATTTTGAAATCCATAAAAATGATAATTAACATTCAAATTCGAGATTACTTACTAAACAAATATTTTGATATTATAATTTTAAAAATATAAACTATATTTTATATAAAATTAACACACAATTTTTGAAGAAAATTCTTAGCAATTTAATTAATGATAATTAAATCTGTTTAATTTTCAAGTACGTTTAATTACAAGTATGGAATTTATATGGAAAGAAATAAATTCTTGGTAATTCAATTGCCTTAAACTTATTTGTGTAAAAATTGTCAATTAAAAGTATTTTATTTATTTAATTTTCAATTTAGAAAATATTATATTTATCCAATTTTTATTGATGAGTAGATGAGAGAGAGTAGGTAGATAAAAGAGAGAAAGAGAAAGTGAATTCCTTGGAAAATAAAATCATAATCTCCTTAGAGAAAATATTTTCCTTGATTTTGAAAAAAATATAGTCACGTGACCAAAAGTAAGAAAATGTTTTCTATGAAAAATGTCAATCAAACAGCACAAAAGTAAAAAATTGGATGGAAAAACACATTTTTATATAAATATTGACAACCAAACACACTCTTAGATGTTAACGCAATCCATACCGATTGTCTGTTTAATCTGATTAGACATTCTTAGTTTATTTACTATTTTGTTATACTTTTATAAAGCATAAAAAATCCTCCTTCGAAGAACAAATAGATTCCTTGTATGGCTATGTCAAGCAAGATAAAAAGTGAGGTTTTAGGCAACTCGTAGGTTTCGAGATGGGGTAACCAGTTTGTTTTATTAATAATTTTATATACTTGTTATAATTATAAAACATTATATTCATTTTCTTTTCAATCATAGATTAGCATTTAAAATTTTTTAACAGAACAATGGTGTCAACCGTTTACTTAGCGTTTTAAGTATAAAAAATTAAAAGTTAGGGACGTAACCATCAAAGAAAAAATGTTGAGAACCCATTTTAATACGTTGAAAATCTCCACTACAACGTTCCGAGCATATAAATCGATGATTGGGACAACTCGACCCGTTAACTTCCTATGTGATAGATTGCCATGTCATATTTTCTGTCCACTATACTGAACAAATCGTTAATTGAGAAATCATGGTTGAACAAAATTAAAAACAAGAAAAAGTATGGACATAATGAATTGACTGCATCTGATTGGATGTTTTTTCTATTTTCTAATTGTCCATTCATGCTTCAACACGTGTCCCTTCTATTTTTTACCTTGTTTTTAAAGCATCTCTCATTAATTTTGCTTATGTTAACTGACTCGGTGCTATAACCGACAAAACAAAAAACTTGAGGAAAGAATAGGAAACGAAAAAAAATGAAAAATAAAATAAAATTGGAACTAACTAAAATAAAACTTCTCCGGAAGGTGAGTGACTCATAATGTATGTATTTTATCCACTCTAAATAAAAAATTTGAACTCTGTCAATGAACACAGATTGCCTTAAAATATATACACGATTGAACAAAGCAATTTTCCACCTGCAAATGAGAGAAAAAGAGATCTACATAACTTTCATTGCCCAGTTATTTTCTTTTCAGTCCATCAGAGCATCCTCCTCTGCAGTTCCTATAGGAACAATCCTAGGCAAAATTTTCTTGTGGATATGTTTCTTTAAGAACCTGGGGCAAGTTCAGAACGATCTCAGCATATGCTGTCGGGGAAAATAAGGTATATTAGTGTCTACATCGGTAATCAGTAACAGGAATGCACAATCTGACTGACCTTCAGGTAAACTCATTGATCGTAATGCATCCTCTGCATATGACAAACGAGTTGGAATAGGTTGAGTTTCTTCCTTCGTGTTCATTGTTACAGCATGCATCGGCCATGCAAGGACACTGACCCCGGTTGGAAGTACGGACCTAAGATCCTCCGCGTATTTAAGACTCAATGTAACCTTGCTGCAAGTGGAAAAACAAAAGCACGCTTGAAACTTGTGGCATCTAGAAAGAAACCTAGATAGAATTTAAATCAGAAGTTTATAGAAATTAAACAGATAATTTTTGTGAATCCATGCATAAAAGGATCCACACATACATTGCTGCTACCAATACGGTTAAAAAACATTAATGCAATAAATATGTAGAATGGTAAGGTTGCATGAAAATACCATAACTAGAGAGGGAGAGGCATCAAATCATCTAAACTAATTACCAAATCATAGCCAGTTATATCCAGAGCCTTGTAAAAAGTAATTACTACAAGTCGGATGTGCCACTGCGAAAGATAAAGAAAGATGCTTATTGGAGTTGTAAAATAACTACCATAATCATGTAAAAGGTCGATACAAGATTAGATTGTCCACTTAGCTTCAGTATTTGACATAGTACAGCATGCAACATAACAGCACCTTCCATAAAAACAAGATCACATCTTATTGCCTACAACCGGCGCTCAAGGATTACTTACTTAATTTTCCAATATTAAACAGAAAATTAATTACAATTTATACAAGTGGCACATATATGGCCGAACAATACAAGAAATCAATTAAGACAAATAATTACCAAACCATAATAAATAGAACATAGACTAAATGAACGTATACTGATATGGGGATCCATATTGTTTGCTTTTTAAGTTTGGTGCTTCAACAAAATGAAATCTTTAGCAACCACATAATGCTACATTGATATTGGTTTACCTTTCATTATGTTCTTGCCCTTGTTAATCGGAGCTCCCATACTTCTAAGATATGCCTAACCACCGTCATTTAGTATAACCTCAACATTTATTTTGTGCATGTTTGGCAAAGCTTATAATTTCTTATAAGCTGGTCAAGCTTAGCCAAGCAAGCACTTCGAAAACAGTGTATCTAACATGAACATGGTAGCGTGAAAGACGGGAGCAAATTTATCTAAAATCAGAATCATCTCCACTAAGGAAATGTAACTATCTTTCTTATTCTCAAGTATAATATACGAAGCATCAATACATTCTTAGGAAAAATGTCTTTTAACTACCAAACTCGGTACCTAAAGCACGGTTGGTCTAGGTTGTTGTTCAATAGAACTTATACTTGATAGGCATCTTACAATCAAATAAAATCCCTGTAACACTTTTCCAATTGTCCAACTCACTAGTGTACTACATATAACATCCTCCTCTTGTCCTCGTTATGATCATAGCAGTGAAATACCTAAACCAATAACTTTTTAGGTCACTGCGATCCTCTACAGAAACTCCACACTCATCCTTATTCCAAAGAAGATTTATAAAGAAAATTCAAGTGAAGAAGGCTGCTGAAGCTCAATTTCACTCTGGATTTGTGTTCCAAATGTTCTCTACACTTAATTTCAAAAGTTTTGTAATATATTCCCCAAACCTTTGGATATTCTTCTCTTCTATGAGTTAATTGCCTTCATCATCTTGATCAATAGATGATTGTGATGACGACATCGGACGACGTTTACTTATTTTATTTAAGCTTTATTTATTTTCTTGGATTATTATTTAAATTTGGACTTGTATGAGCTCGGGCCCAAGTTCGTTAGGGTTGCTTTACTATTTAAACCTATTTTGCATTGTAATTTTCAGTTGATAATGAATGAATAATTATTTTAGTGGCTTATGGCGCATCTCTCCCCTTCTTCTATTGCATTCTTCTTCTATCCTCTCCCTTAATTCTCCATTCTTTCTGAATCTTTGTTCTGTTTCTATTAATCATCCTATTGGTGCTGTATCAAATTTGGTATCAAAGCCGAACCATGGGTAATTTCTTTTCTTTAATCCAAAATTTATTCATATTTCCTTCCCAAAATCTATTGGAACAGCACGAATTAAAAGAATTTTTGGTAAAGGCAGCAGTTTTTTCTTTTTCTTCAATTTTTAGTCTTAGTTGGGAAAAAAAAGGTACTATTCATCGCGAGTACTGTTCACACAGAATTTCAGTTTAGTATTTTGGTCAGTTTAGTATTTTGCTGCTGCTCATAAAAAAAAAATAAAAATTGTGGTGTTGTTTCACAAATCCCAAACCCTAGCATTCAAGCCCATTTAGCCCAACTAACACAGCCTACTCTTTACGACCCAGGCCCACTCTCCAAACACTAACCCCAGCTGGCCCATCTCTATAACAGGATCCAAACCCTTCCCATCTGGTTCAGTTCCAAATATCCAACCAAGCCCGATTATAACCAATCCATTAACATCAAACACCCCACAGTTTCACCCGATTCCTCTCTCACAACCACTCTCTTGCTGCCATCGCCTTTAATCACCATCACGGTACCACTTCATTATCTATTGTGCTCAGGCATCCAAAGCACTACCGCTTCATCGCCATAGGCCACCACCACCAACCCAAGATCATACACTTCCACCACAGTTACCACACTCATATATTTCCTCGTCCATCTCAACAATCTAAAAGTCACAGTCATCACACTCAATTTTACGTTCACACCAGAGCTAGCACAAGTTACAGTCAACAGAGGTTAAAACCATTGGACACGAAGGGAAGAATAGAAGCATAATTGGGGCTTATAAGTCGGCAATTCAGATCAAGCGGCATACAAATAATCAAAACTAAACAACAGGGAGTCCATGATCTCTATTTAGTATTGGTTTATACTACTGCTTCATTTTTAAAATTGCATCAATTAAAATCTTGTGCTGCTATTATTGTGATAATTTTAGCATTAAACCTCACTTGATCAAAACCATTAATCGAATTGACACCAGTGACTGAATTGACTTCCATTGTTCCCTACTTAAATTGATTGGAGAATTTGACTAGTGTTGACCCTTGCTTTGCCATTTTACATGTACTAGCAGTATTAGCTTGTTTTGGATTTAATTAATCCCAATATTTAAAATTAAATTAAAAAAAAATGGCACAAGTTATTTTCCATTGCTTGCACGTATTGTTCACTGATCTCATCATAACACGTCATTTAGCTGGTATTACATTGCATATAATTGCATAGTGGTCGTCTTGTCATCTCTATTTCCAATACATTGATCATGGATCCATCACAATTTGATGCACTCACTAGACAATTAGCGCAACTTGTCACTAGCCTATCGACTGTCCAATTAGATATAACTGATACTCGTGAGGAAAAAAAGAAACCCAACTGCTAATTTGAGCAATTTTAAGCGAACCCCTCGTTTAACTGACACTAATTCTAAAGCGCTCATAATAGACAATATCATCATGGACAAAGTGATCAAAAATATTTTCGACGCGATCGTAGGAATAGGGATCAGATTCGTAAGCGAGAACGAGATAATTTTGAAATTCTTACTCAATGGAATGCCCTTAAACAAGGAAATCAATCAATGACTGAGTATATCGCGCAATTTGAGGAATTTCGAACCAAATGTCATTTAATTGAGGATGGAAGTATGACTTTGAGTAGGTTTAGCCAAGGTCTGAGAGATGATCTTAAGCGCGAGCTTTTCCTTCGAGGTGTCACTACTCTTGATCACGCTTACTTTTTAGCTCGAAATTATGAGTTGATTATTAGTACTCCATATGAAAAGCGTGGTCATCGTCGTTCACCCATCTCATTAGCGTCGCCTCATCATAAGTCTATCATAAAACCTTCTCCGTCTAATGTTCCTCCTATTTGGAAAAATAATTGTAAAGGTCGTGATAGTCCAAAATCTTCTTCTTCATGTAGAAAGCGTAATGGCATTCATCTTTCAATTTCATTGGCTCCACTTCCTCCTGTTAAGTCCCTTCTAGGACCTCCCCCATCTAATGTGGCTCCACTTCCTCCTGTTAAGTCTCTTCTAGGACCTCCCCCGTCTAATGTTCCTCCAATTTTGGAAAATAAGGGTATAATTTGTGAAACTCCAAAAACTTCTCACTTGCTATGCATCATTTGTAAGGATTTTGGCCACATCTCTTCCAAATGTCCTAACCGAACCTTAGTCATAGAAGAACGAAAGAATGCAATAGAAGAGTCGTTAGAAGATCTAGCATATGGCCCTAAACTTGAAGATTTTGATGATTATAGTGAGAACACTTCCTTAAGTGGAATCCCGACCCTTCCCGAGACTTTAGAAACTATACCCCTTATTTTCGACAACTCTCGATCACATGTTATATGTCATACCCTTACCCAACTCAAAGAGTTTGATGATTTCACTAGTCACCCTTGGAGAATCCAGTCGCTTGTTCTTAGTACTAAATCGAAATTCTTCACTACTGACCGACCTCAAACTGATGGACAAAACGAAATTGCTAACCGAAGTCTTGGCAATTTATTATAGTCTCTAGTCCAGAAAAATCTTGAGAATTGGGACTCGATCCCCCCAATTGTTCACATCGCATATAACAATTCTATGAATCGGTCTCTAGGTCTAAATCCATTGGAAGTTGTTCATAGTTATAAGTCTAGGCGACCGTTAGATCTCATTCCGATGTCCTCGCATGCTAGTGTGTTGTTGTCAGCTGAAGCATTTGTATATCATCTTCATGACTTGCATATTGAGATCAATAAACAACATGGCGCAAGTAATGCATTATATAAACTTCAAGCTGATTCGCATAAACGATATTTTGAATTTAATATTGGGGATTATATCATATTGCAAGCTTGTAATGCTGGTCCTTTAAAAATTTTAAAGCATGTTGGTTCAAATGCACATGTCATTGCCCTTTCATCACATTTTAGCCACCACTCTGCTTTAAATATTGAGGACTTCATTACTTACAAATACCATATTACTTCCTTTGATGATCCATTTCTACCTAACTTTGTGGACCCCCAATTTGACTATATTGATATTTCTACTTTAATACCATCTATCACAGCAAACAAAGATAAAATTGATGTTATTTTAGATAAACATGTTGTATTGACCAATGATGGCAAAATTCAGTACTTCCTTATTTGTTGGGTAGATCGATGTACTTCTTATGCTCCTCATTATGTACAATCATGTGAAAATGTTGAAGATGAGGTGCATGAGTATTGGTTATTTGAAGTCCAGTATCAGCACTTGGTTAGAAGGAAAGATCAACCCCCTTGGTCAGATCATATTCTTGGGAATAAGCTACAGTTTTCAATACTATCAATTATGGAATTTCATTACTTGGTTCGTCAGAAAGATCGTCCCCCGTGGCTTGACTTGAAGTATTTGGAGTATCAGATTGACTGCAACCTATACTATCTATCAACTCGACAGGGTCGAGTTTTTCTTCCACCCCGGGAGAGTTGATGAGGACATCGAATGACGTTTACTTATTTTATTTAAGCTTTATTTATTTTCTTGGACTATTATTTAAATTTGGACTTGTATGGGCTCGGGCCCAAACTCGTTAGGGTTGCTTTACTATTTAAACCTATTTTGTATTGTAATTTTCAGTTGATGATGAATGAATAATTATTTTGGTGGCTTATGGCGCATCTCTCCCCTTCTTCTGTTGAATTCTTCTTCTATCCCCTCCCTTAATTCCCAATTCTTTCTGAATCTTTCTTTTGTTTCTATTAATCATCCTAATGGTGCTGCATCGGATTGTTAAGTGAATATGTGAATCTAAGATGTTATCGTTCAATTTAGACCTAGTAGAAATCACCTTAGGTACTAATTACAAGAAAGAGATAAACTTCTAGGCGTTAAGTGACCCATTTGGTAAGTCTCGTTAATTTAATGCAATTGATTGGTTTATTAATTTATATAGATATATTATAAACTAACGCAATCAATTAGGGTTAATTTCATGATCAAGAGAGGTAATTAACTACATTAGGAGAATTGGGTTAATAAATTGAAAACGGGTCGGACATTAAGCCTATGTTTGGACTCCATTATCTCAAAAACTCAGATTTTTAAATTCATTTTCAACCATTCATTCTCCTGTAAAATAATATTACAGGTCAATTGAAATTTTTCCTTTTTTTAATCACGCATACTCCAAAAAATATTACTCTAAAATATATTTTTCCAAAATTACATTTTAATGGAGCCCAAACAAGGGATAAATTAAAAATTGCAAAGTTAAAAGACACAAATCAAGAATTCTTTTTATTGCTTAGACTCATATTCCCAAAAAAGTGGAACTAGATCACAGATAAATGAAAATTTTATTGATAATGTTATTATTTTAAGATCTAACCGGTTGGATGCCAAATCAGAATTCCTAACACTTTAATCGATTTTCCTTAAACTTCATTTTTTACTTGTTAAAATACTTTTTTTACACTACAGTTTAGATTCTTAATAAAAAAACTGATGAACTTGTGTGTTCGACTTTTGAATTGAGCTAGTTTTAGTTTACTCAATTGTCAAAATAACAATCCCTGTTGGATTCGACACTCCTCATCACTCTATTACTTGTTCATGATACCATATACTTTTGGGATCACATAATCGCACACGAAACAACATTCCATCTACGTGCCTTAGTTCTAAATAACCTAAAATGTTTATATTTCAAAGGTCTTCAAAGTTCTACTTACGATTTATTCCCTTTTAGTTTCGTTAACTAAAACTACATGATTGGCGAATAACATATTTTAGAAGGATCTCACATACATCACACAGCCTAGCATAAATAGAGGAAAAAATAAGGCTCAAGGTAAAACCTTGACACACAAGCCTATAGAAGTTGAACATTCTCTCCTATTACTACCTAAACAAAATTTACCCTTTGTGATTACTCCATACATAATGACAAGTTAAGGAGCCGTTCGGTACCCATTTTTTTCAAAATGTATTTTTCTCTCTTCTTTTCAACCACATTCTTTATTAAAATAATATTACACGTAAATCAAAAATATTTCCTTATTTTTTAACCACACATTTCCCATCAATTTACTATTCAAAAATGCATTTTTACATAAAAATGGTTCACAAACACCCCCTAAATAAAATTTCATTCTCTGAGGCGCCCAACCAAATCTTATCCATCAGCATCATATCGGAGACTTTTCTAGACCAAATAAAAACTATATATAGATATTTTTTATTTCTTCTTTCTAATTTCAATTTAAGAATCTGTAAAATAGATAAATGCTTCTATTAATAAGATATTTAGCATCTATTTGGACTCCATTTTAATTTTAATGCATTTCTCTCTCTTCTCTATTTAATTATACATTCTCTAATAAAATAATATTACACATAAACCTAACATTTTTTCTTTTTTAACCATACATTCTCAAAAAATAAATCACTATTCCAAAATATATTTTCTCCAAAACCACATTAAAATAGAGCTCAAACAGTGACTTACTTTGACACACATTTAAATTGGTTTCTAATACCTTTAAACTATATCTTTATTTATTCCAAGGATAAGAAACCTAGTCGAAGACTACAAGGATTAAACATAAGTTTCATGGAAAATATGATTTCAAAAAAGTTTGATTCATTTCATGTTTATTTAGGTTGGATTAAATTCATTTTCATATTTTCAGAAGATTGTACTTTATTAAACTCCCCTTGACATGGGATATCTTGCTCTATAAAAGGAACCAAGGATCCTTAGGTTACAATATTGATTATATTTCATCCTCCTAAATTCTTTTTCTCCATTCTCTAATTTTTTTCTCCTCTACATTTCTTTATCTTCTTTCACTCTTGCGCTCCTCTCAAACTCTTCTTTGTCAAGTTCCGCATCAATTTGGTATCACATGTTCCTCTAACTAAATGATTCTCGAAAAGTACTACGCAGTCTACTTTTCATTCACGACTTCATCGATGACTCCTATGATTAAATCTGTATTTAAGAAAAAATAGGATTTAATAGAGTTTGATTAAATTTATATTCTTTCCTGGAAACATTGGTTTTAATATTTTGATTACATGTTTCAAATGAGATTCTTGCTCCAAAGGGATTTGGGATTTCAATTTTGCTCTCTATAAACCAAAATAACATACGATTGCGTTAGATCATCACACACTACGTTCAAAATAAAATAAAGGGCATAATTAGCAAAAAGATGCCAATTCCAGGGCATAATTAGCAAAAGATGTCAATTTGTGGGTTGCTTTGTTCCCAATCTGGGAAACAAAACGGCAAGAGCCACAACTAATCAAGAAAGGCTTACATTATCAGACGGGAGTAAACCATGAGGAGCTAAATTTTTCTTCTCTTCTCTAATGCTCTCGTTCTATCCATTCCTCTACATTCTCTCTTATTCTTCTCAAATTCTGTTCTTTCTCTCCTCTCTTTCCTTGTTAAGTTCTGCATCACACCTCTATCTCAAATTCAGAGCATGATTTATGAACTTAATACCTCTATAATTTATACAAACTTTAAATATTTTGTGCTTATGATTAGGAAAACATTATTCGTATACTATTAAGATCTAATCGAACAATTTTCTCAACCATAGAACACCCATCTCAGCCAGAAGTTTCAATACTTAAATGGGAATTTCATATAGACTAATTGTTTTTCTCATCTTCATCCTTTTCATGGCTTCCCTCAATTCTGAGACCCATACTATCTGTACAGTAAAAATCTCTATCCTCAATACCATTAAATAATTCGACGACATAATCATGTATCTATGTGATATTGCTATTAGACGAAACACTTTATTTTCCTCTTTATTACTTCTTTTTCGATTTCTTAATTTCCACGTATAGCGCCAAGAATTACCTTACACTCCTTGCGTGATGAGACATCTACCTTCCAAATATGGATGAAATCTATTTCGAGAAATTTTGTCCATTTTTAGAAGTTATTGAATCACTTTTCTTGAAGGAAAAAAAATGTTTCTCTTCCCCTATCTTTTCAAGCAAAAGAAAATTATCTACTCCCCGATAACTCACTTGTATTATATTTTGGTTGTTTGATCAATTAAAAATCCATTTTGCCATGCTGAACACCGAGTATCAGATGATGCACATACGCGTGACAACATCAATATTGGGCCAATGTGGCACTGGCACCTAGAGTCAAAAGATATATCCGTGTTTTCTCAAAATGAACACAATAATTCATTCAGTATTCACCCTCCAGTCACACTGGCTATCGCTAATTCGAAAGGTTTTGTTTGAAAACCCAAACCAGAAAGGTTTCTTAAGCTATAAATAACAAGCAAGCCTGAATAGTAGTTCAACCTTTTCAATTTGTCCATGTGCTGTGCCTCGATAAACATGTGAAAAGTAAGAGTCACGTAACTTCAAACAAGACAACTGTTTTATAAAGACCAAGCTTGAAGGTGAGAAAAGGAAAAAGCAAAACTATGAAAACAGTTATGTTGTTAAAAATTCACCGAGATGGACTAGGAAAAAATATATACACGAGAAGGGTTACACCTACCAATCAAAATCATCAAGGAAAAATTCAACCATATGATATGGAAGACTGTGATAAAGTTCTCCAATTTGATTTCCATACAGTTCCTTTATAAGACGGACCTGGAGAAAAACAAGACAAGCAGTTCAGAAGATATGTTAAAAGAAATCAGAATATTCATGTCAAGAAGATACTATAAAAATGAAACTACAATTAAAGGAAAAAAACGGATTTCATTCTGTGGAAACTTCAAAGAAAATGAAGTTTGATAATCTTGATGCAATATAAAGAAATACTGAAATAGAATATGTTCTCTTACATCATGCATAATTCTATTTAAAAATTCATTAGATTTCTGCTAACAGCAGCTGCAGAAAGCTGCAGGCAACTTGAGACCTGAAGGCAGATTGCTGAAATCATAGCCACAGTGAAAGGCAGCCTAGACATGGTGCAGCACAATGTGCATCCACACTGAATAATCTACCTAAATCCCCATAAAGTAGGGATATCAGTTCCAAGAGTTCAAGAACATTCTATAGAAGCCTGCATGTAATACCCCAAAAATCCTTTATAGTCATTAATCATGAAATTAGGACCTTAGTATAAGAGGATGATAGAGGACCAAATTGCAAATCAGCCAATAGTTGAGGGACTACAAGAGCAATTTCCTAAATTGAGGCCCATCCCAAAATTCCGAAATTCCTTTATATATATATATTGGAAATTAGATGGAATTAAGTAAAGTTTTTTATATGTGAAAGACAAATTAGGAAAATTATAATTACGTGGGTGGGTCTATGTATGTATAATTGTATATAATTATGGTCGATTGATTTCAAATATAGCATTACTACAATTATGTACGTCTATATATGTATAATTATGATATATTTATTTAAATTATTTGTTACTGTAATTACGTATGTCTATTTATATTTATGTATCAATATATTTAATTATGATCGATTCATTTCAAATATAGTATTACTACAATTACGTAAATCTATTTATATATAATTATATCTAATTAAGATTGAATTATCATGTTACTACAATTAGGTGCATCTATGTATGTATAATTAAAATATAATTTTTTTCGACTAATTTCAAATATAGTATAACTACAATTACGTACGTCTATTTATGTGTAATTATATATAATTACGATTGATTGGTTTACTATAATTATAGATAACTATGGTTGATTGATTTCAATTATAGTATTAATATAATTATGTACATCTATATATGCATAATTATATATAATTAAGATCGATTGATTTACCATAATCACGTGCGTTTATTTATGTATAATCATATATGATTATGGTTATTGATTTCAAATATAGTATTACTACAATTATGCACGACTATATATGTATATTTATATATAATTATGATTGTTTAATTTAAATTATACCATAATTACTTGAGTCTATTCATGTATAATTATATATGATTTAAGTTGCTTGATTTCAAATGTATAATTATATATAATTATGATCGATTAATTTAAATTATATGATTACCATAATAATTAAGTATATATATCTGTGCGTGCGTATAACTATGATTGTCGCACTACACACGAAGTTCGTAAACGATTGTTTGAGGTCAAGTTCTTCCCTAGGTGTTTTATCAAATTCCCTTAAGATTTATGAGGTAAGTGTATTCATATGTTGTATGTTAAATTGTTTTTCATACTTCAGAAGAAGGAATTCGATTTATGAATATGATATAGGTCTTATATGTTTAAGTTCAATGGACCGGCATTCTATAGTGCTATGCATGGAAATTATAGCAACGAAGTTGGGTTCTTAACTCTCTCGTCTCCCTATGTATGTCATGATTATGTATGGGGATTATGGCCACCTAAGTTTGGTTTCTAATCCCTATGTCTCCTTATGTACATTAAGAATTCCAAAATTTTAAATATAAATTACAATTTATGTGGCTTACTTATTGAGATTTCATCTCATTATTTATGATTTTCCCCCTTTTAGGTATTTGAGGTTAAGGCATTGGAGTTTGGAATAAAGAGGAGATAATTTAGGAATTTTTAACAATAAATTTCATGACTAAGAATGTGTGTTATTTTTTATTATTGAAACTTTGGAAATAATTATATTTTATGAAAGTTATATTTTTAAGATACATATTTAATGACCCAAAGGGTAAGTTTTGGGTTGTTACAGTGCCTATATTGTAAACATCTTGGATATTTTGTATACAAGTACCTAGAGATCATCTTTCAACCATTTAATTGAATTTATCAATCATGTCCCCTTGTGGAGGTTACAATTCACAATTATAAACAAGGGTAAAGAGCTTTTTTTGGATAAGGAAAGGGTAAAGAGCTCATTTGCAATAATCAAGTAGTAGAGAGAATTTGTGAGCAATAAAAAGAGTCCATTCTTTCAAATTCTTCATTAAATTTCCTTGTGTGATTTCCTAAGTTCTGTATTTATCTACACACCATTGTGGTATTTTGAGTAGTTGATCAATAAAAAGTTTCCATTCTGTAGTCATACCTAACCTCATGAATCACTTGATTTTTTATGATTCTAAAAACTCAATTTTGAAGATAAAAAGCATTTAACTGTATCATTTATTCTTTCGAGAAAACAGAGCATCCCCACCTTTCCGCAAGAGTGGATGGACTTTAATCACTTACTTTTTCTATCTTGTGAGTAATTCTTAATTTTTCGATTCCTAGATATTGTTCTCAATGATTCTCATAATGAAATTAATGATTTTTAAGAAAATTTAACATATACAAATTCTTGGTCCATACTATCGATACATGCACATAAATTACTGGAGACAGAACAATTTCCTTAACTTTATAAATTGAAAAAAACAAAAGTAAAACATGCAACATTTAATTTGCAAGAAGAAAAGAAAAATACAAATCAGTAACTCAGCAAGTTAATCCAGATACTTCCATTTAGAACAGAGGTAAAAACAAATCTATTTGAAAAACCAGCCTGTCTTCTTAGATTAAGAGTCCCAAAGAGTGAAGCAATTGCTATCCCAAAATTTTTGGCTTTTAAATGTAATATTTCCTGGCCGAGTGGGATTTATCTCCTTGAGCATGAATGTGATTTACGAGGGATTTATTGCAACTTATTTGAACTTGTCGAAGAAAAAAATGACTTCTCATAATCAAAACATTGCACCTTAAGATCATTAAGCAACTAATCTACCCGAGTCCAAAAAGTCAATAGATATCCATTGAATAACTCTTCAACAGAAGGCCAACAGATGAGTATAGCTACACATGAGATTGCTTTAGACTATGCATTTCAACCCTTCACTCAAGTTGGTTACTGATCTTCTGCCATCACAAACTCAAGTTTAGGAGATGCTACACTTCTATCTCCATCAACCTTTTTTTTTTTTTATCTATACAGAACAGGGGTCGAGGGAATGTATCATCTAGAGGATAAAGTAAGGTCTGGTAGTTCTGGAGTTAGGAATGCATGCTAAAATTACACAAGGGAAACCACCGGTATTTAAAATACATTTTTAGATCATTACTGCATCGGTAGCTAGCGTTGGATTGGGAATAACTCTGTTCTGTAGCTAGAAATTACGCTTACATGAGTAAACAATATGTGTTACTCAAAAGAAGAAGAATTATTTGAGAAACTGAATCAAATTCTATGGGTTACTCAAAAAGACGAAGAGGTCTTATTAGATAAAAATTGAATCAAATTCATTCAAAAAAAGGGAATATATAAATACAGAGAGAATTAGGATAGGGGAAAAAAATTATTTTATATAATATGTAAAGAAAATTAAATTGAACCCTTCAAAGATGTATCCGTAAAGGAACAAAATACCTGCTCCCGTCTATCAACATAAGCCTGTAATAAATCTCCCATGTGGTCTATGAATTTCTGAAACAAGATAAGGGAACTGATGCTTTGAGATATGGATAGTCAGCCAATGAACAGTGATATATTTAAGCGACCAGTCTCACCATTGCATTTGAAGAGAGAAAATCATTTTCAGCTTCACGTATCAGCAAGAAAAATGGAACTGTGTGTTCAAGAACAGTCATTTTCTCAAGAAATGACTTGCTTTCGAGCACACAATGGTACAGGTCGCAAGGTTCTCCTGTTAGAAGTCAGAGTGATTATAAATTTCCACTGCACAAATAAATAAGTTCAAAATGGGGGCGCGGGGGGGAAGATGGGATGCGTAGATTAGAAGTTGAATGTTTAATATTAAGCGGCCTCTATAATTTAAAAAATAATTGTGTCGCAAACTGAGCTTATTTTTTTATTATTATTTATTTTTTTTTTATTATTATTATTATTGGTGATAACAGTACCCAATCGAGGTCATTTTGGTGAAGTTCAATAAAACTCGTTCTAATGCCACGTCTAGACGTAGGCAGCAAAGATGGTAAAAAATTTAATGAAGCTTCTTTGAATATGAAAAGGAACTACAAGATCTGGTATTCATTTGAGGTTATTCTGGTGAAGTTTGACAAAACTTATTATAATGTATAGTCTAGATGAAGGCAGTATAGATTGCAACAAATTTAGTGAACTCGTTCGAGTAATCGAATTTTAGAAGGAACTACATTTCTGCCAGGAAGAGGTTCTAAGGCTTTTATTTGCAAGCAGAGTTATGCGACAAGTGATGACATCTCAATTTAGCTTCTTCTAAGTAATTAACATGTTACTGCATCAGTTGTTTAGTACTGGTATCTTTTAAACAACTTCTATTTCATCGATTGGCTCATATTGTGGGTCCTCTCTCTACATTTATCTTCTCTTAATGATCCTAAAGCATGTACACATAGGAGGTTAGGCAAACATGTTTACTAAGCAGAAAAAAGGTGAACTCTAGTTTTAACAAGTATATATAATCTTATGTCACCATTCATGCAGCCTTCGTTAAGGTGTACTGTGTTGAATATAAATCCATGGATTTGCATCACCAGTAACCAGAGATTGTGATTCAGTTCCAATTCTACTTAAGTAGGTTTTTAGATGTGATTCTAACTAAGTAAATGATTTCGCTAGGGAAATTACATATAACCTAGTATTTTGCAATTAAAAGGACATCGAGCCATATCAAGATTTTCTAGGACAATCAGGTCTACTTCTTCAATATCTACTACATTTCTGCATTTCCATGCTTTATTACACTTGGATAAAAAAATTACTAATTCCCAATCACAATTCAATTTTCATCTGAATGAACAGTGAGATTGCAAGTGCACGGGGCACCCAATAGAATCAAGGACAAAGGCATGTTATTGAGTTTGGTTGGTAGAAGCAATTTTGTGGGTCTCTGGCCAGTTAATTGCTTGAGTTCAAAACTTAACATAAAAAACTCTCTCGAGTCTACTCTCATTTATTTTTTCCAAGATGTTTCCACTAATGATTTATATGCAACCAAAAAAAAAAAGGCACAAAACAAAAAAAGTCATCCTTGTAGCCAGGATGGCTCAATTAATCACGATGAACTGTCAACTAAAAATCAACCTTTACAAATTGGTTCACAAAAATGGAACATCATCAAATATGATACTATGAGAAACAATAAATCAGAGAATTGTTATAAACTTTCAGCAGCACCTGATATTTTTTCCATTTAGTAATTATCCATACTCATATGAAACCAGAAAGTTTGTAATTACCAGCAAATGATGTCTCATATTGTATGCCAATCCTTCCTCCTTCCAAACAGCAAATTGTCTGCTCATAAAGAATGCCTTATTAAGTAGTCAACCATGTTGTTCATAATCAATTAAACTTGCTGCCATTTATCTAAGCTTCAACAGGGTCTTAAACAGATGCACAGAACAAAGGACAAATGTGAAATTCTAATATTAGTTATTTATGCAGTTATTGGTCTAGAATTACCTTTCGCCATTAAAGTTTCTCATTATTTGGAGACATATTCCTTGTAGTCGGAGAAGTCCTTAAAGGAATTGTGGGCTTATGATTGTAATTTCGGTCCACCTGAATTAATACAAAGGTTCAAACAAGCCTCCAAGTCTACCAGCAAATATTGCCTCCTAAGTCACTTGTGCTACAAGTTTACCACAGTTTAAAGGGATAAAATTCAACATATCGATAGACTCCCGATTTGATTTACATATGCAAAAAGAAATAAGACCAAGACTATGACTAACAAAGGAGTAGCATAGGCAGCAAGTAACCAGGAGTCAGCCTAGCAGCACAGACACACTGTGATTTACTTTCAGTCATTTAGTTTTTTTATCCTGGGGGGTAATTGAATTAGTTCAGTGAAACACTAATAAATATGATGGGGAGGGGAAGTAGAGAGGATGTTGAGTGAGATGTTGAAAAAATAGGGAGAGAACCAAGGCCTCTCGAATAGCCTTGGGATTGTCATTCAATTTCTGTTCATTTTATCAATACACAAACAGTTTGATGTGATCATCCATTGAATATAACTTGAGAATTACATTTCATAAATCAGCCTACTGATTACTGTTACATAGCAGTGGCCTGACCATTTGAAAATTCAGCCAGAGTGCAGGATCTCAGAAGGAACCTTCTTCAGTTGAGCAGCAGAACAGGGATCCTCACAGTAGAATCAGTTGAGCAGCTGCTGGTCCCCTATCAAGTGGTATCAGAACACTCGATTCTAGGACAGATGGAAACAAAATTCAGCAAAGAATTGGAGGAGAAATGGAGCTAGTTATTCAATCAATTTGATCAGATGATGATGCGATGGATAGGAGGAGACCGAGGCAAGGGATTCTGGATTGGATTTGCTAGGTCGACTAAAAACATCAATATTCTATGATGGCAGTCCAGATTGGCGGCTATGGGAAGTAGAGGAAATTTTCATAAGGAATCGATTGTTGGAGAGGGAAAAGGTGGAAGCCGCTACAACATGTGTGAACGGTGAACCTTGGGAGTGGTTTCAATGGCTAGATCATCATCGATCCATGCAAACTTGGGGAGAATTGAAAGAGTGGATGATAGTCAGATTCCAGCCATCCACAGGAGAAAACTCAACGGAGCGTACCTTTGCTTCTGAAATTCCACCAAAGTCCAACAAGGCAGCCACAAGTATGGAAGACAGGAATACTGGTGGGGAGCCATGGCAAGCAAAACATTCGGTGGAAAAAGATTTGACAGCGGCTGCAACCAAACCTACCCTTACCTCTGAAGGTCAACCAAACTCTGAGAGAACTGAAGCTAGAAGAGACCGCCGGAATTACAGGGAGAAGTTTGTTAATGGGTTTTAATCCATGTTACGGGCTTGGAACAGAATGTTAGAGCTTCAAGGTTTGGGCCAAATTTTAAAATTGGCCTAAAGAGTTGAAAAGCAAAGTGAGACAATGGAACAGGCCCAACTGAATTTCAGCCCAAATAAAACTAAACTTAGTTTGCTCAACCCCTCTGTAAGTTACAGGGTAACAGCCCACAATTTTACTATTATCATAAGAGTCTCCTATCTTTTCACAGTAAATTCCAAATTGACGGCATCTAATATACTTTGTCCAGCAAAGATAGCAAAGGGAGTTGCAACTGAATCCCAGGCAACTAATGTGAGTGTTTATAATGCTGCTTTGGCATTGGGATTGCAAATCAAAGGACGAACATACTTAGAGATGTTGGAGAAGATGTAAGAAGATGAGGGATCTACCTGCCAGATGATGAAATCTAAGTGAATGACTACAATTTCACAAGAGAGCATGTGCAAACAGAAAGAAGAAAATTCTTGCTTTGCCAATTGCATATGCAAAGTCTCTATTGCAAAAATTAGACATTTCGTGGGTAGGGAAAACTGGATATGGAATTGGCCTGGACACTATATTGGTGATAGTTGCTCGACTGAGTAGGTCCGTCCACTTCAAAAGGTTGAAACATCCATTTTCCGTAGTGACCATGGCTGGAGTTCTTTCAAGGAAAATGGTGTGGTTGCATTATGAATTGACCAACACAGCAAAAACTTCCACCTTGAGAACAAGGTGGATGTCGGGGGGGACGAGTAATCTATGACTAACAAAGGAGCAGCAAAGGCAGCAAGTAACCGAGAGTCAACCAAGCAGCAGATGCACTCTGTGATTTACTTTCAATCAGTAAGTTTATTATCCTTTGAGGGGTGGGTAGTTGAGTGAGTTCAGTGAAACACTAATAAATATGATGGGGAGGTACAGTAGAAAGGATATTGAGAAATAACCAAGGCCTCTCAAATAGCCTTGGGATTGTCATTCAATTTCTGTTCATTTTATTGATACAAAAACAGTTTGCTGTGATCATTCATTGAATATAACTTGAGAATCACATTTCATAAATCAGCCTACAGATCACTATAACATAGCTGTGGCCTGACCATTTTCCAGACGAATAGTTGAGCAGCAACTGGTATCCTAACACATTTCTGATAAGATAAATAGGTGAAAGTTTAAATATCTCCTGGGCACCTCAACACCAAAAACGGCATGGTCTAAAGAGGTGCCAGAGGCGCGCGCCTTGAGGCCTGCTTTACAGCGAGACGCACTTTTGTGCCTTGAGATGGTACTTACAGTACTTTTTCAATAAGATGGGGCCTCATTGAACAAGGTGCACACATTAGTATGTCACCTCTCAAGGAGTGTTAGGGGTGCGTCTCAATTTAATTGTGACCTTTGAGTTGTTTTTCATTTTTTATTCTTTCCCTCTTTTTTAAGTGTAAGCATGAGTTTCATTTCTAAAAAGGGCTTTTTACATAGGCCTATTCTCAAATAATAAAACAAAAATTGAGCTCATCTATTCTATTTATCGTAGGATAACCAGTAAAAAATCCTAAAGAATTCCACTGTACTACCCCACATCTCTCCACTTCAAGAAACAAGAGGCCGTCTTCTACAAAACTCAAGGCAGCACCAGCAATTCTAAAATTTCCGGCAGGTAAATTGCTTTTATTTATAATTTTTTTATTAATATCATCTGCTCTCTCTAATTATTATTATTATTATTATTATTATTATTATTATTATTATTATTATTATTATTACTACTACTACTACTACTACTACTACTACTACTATTTATCTTCTTGTGTTTCTCAAATTCTTCTTCCGCAAGATTGCAAGGCAACCACACAATCATGCATATAATTCAGCAAAAATTCCAGTTATTCTGATTCTAAGATTCGGGCAGTAAATTTCTTTCATATCATTTTATAATTTTGACTTTATATATTAGCTTGTGCAGACCTCACTCCGCCTTGAGGCTTACTCCTCACCTCATGAGCTCAGTACTTATTTACACCTTTTTAAACATTAAGTATAGCATTGCCAGTCTCTCACCCGTAAATCACTTGTGTATCAAGTTCACTCCAGTTTAAAGAGATAAAATTCAACATTTCCTATAAGATGAATCAGGTGGTAGCTTAATTATACCCCTAGGTGCACCGCATAGGAAATGGATACTGAAGTGTGCCACTGTAGTATGCATCAGACTACCGTTTCCTTCATATTTAAATTTGGTTCAGAAAAGTATTCAATTGTCCCCACCAAGAAAACAAGAAGACTTCCCTCTTGAGACGAGGGGAACTTGAGTACTTCAACACTAGTAACTGCATGTGCATAATGTGTAATAAAGGCTGCCAGATAATGCTGAACTCTTATACCAGCGAATGTCAATTGCTCTAGATATGCCATTCACGAAGCAAGAAAATAATTTCACACTAAGGCCTAAGCCATAGGGAAAGTACTTGGCAAGAGAGCTACAACTCACAAGTACTCTTAATTCTTTCACCAGCAGATTATTGATCACATCTATAAGGCAAATCTCACTTTATCATATAGATAAAGAAATTGATGCATGACCAGTACTAAACGGGTAGAAGTTGGTTGAAACCTTTCTACACTTCTTCTCTTTCTTCAATACCAGGAAAATAGAAGAATACCTTATTTCCAGCTCTATAAGTAATCTTTTCATGAAAAGGAAGTACTGGCAGCAACGCAGTTGTATCCCCTGACAATTGTGCTGCCTTTCTTTCAGCCTCCATGTGAACCTGCCATAAATAACAACATAGTGTCACTCTGAAAGTAGAAACTTGTATGAAGAAAAAATACGCTACCAATAAGCAAGCAGCAAAATCAGAGCACAAAAAGATGCACATGAGAAAATGGAGAGGAAACAAAAAATTTCCACTATCACTGTTTTCCCAATGAATTTCAGAAAGGACCTTTTTTCTATAAAGAAAATCAATTTCAATTGAATTTTCAACTCTATAATCTCCATGGCTAATGAAAAGAATTATTACTAAACTAGTAAACCGAGTGACTGAAATCATACCTGCTCCCTTATTGTTGCTAATAAACCATCATTCCATTGCTCACCATCGAAGTATTTTTCTGCAAATTAATTAACATATTAACAAAATTAACAAGTAGATGATATTTGAAGTGTGAAATAACGGTACTCTAATGGAATTCCAGGTAAGTTATCCACCAAGTAAGAAGCAATTCAAGAGGCTAGCAAAAGCATATAAGAATATTCAGAATATAACCAATAACAGGCCTAAAAATGAACACAATTTTCAGTTGAGGTATAAGTGCCAGAACTAGGAACAAACCCCAGAAGAAGTTGATATGCATTTAATAATCAACAATCTCGTGAAATCAAAATAACTTGTGCGAATATATTATCGAAAAGATATATATTCCAATACCTTACAGTTTAACAGTTTGAAAATTTAATTATAGTATCAAATAGTAAAAGGAAAATGCAAATATATTTTGTATCTTAATCTTATACATATTCAAACATACATGGAAATCATGACTTTAATGAAGTCGACACAACAAATCACATCAAGATAAGAGCGTTAAGAAAAAAAATTCATACAAGTGAGCGGTGATAAGAGAAATCATTTTTTAAGGAATCTAAGGACTAATATTACAATAATAAGAAATGTAATCTTCTCAACTCTTATTTTCTGGAAGAAGAGTTGAAAAGAAAAATGCCGACAGACATAATCGGACAAGAACTAGAATTGTAGAAGAAGGGGAAGGGAGAGAGGAGAAAAAGAAAGAGAGAAAGACAAGAAGAGGAGAGGAGAGGAAACAAAAAGAAAGACAGAGACGAGAGAGAAGAGAGAGGAGGAAATTAGAGAGGGAAGGTGTTTATTCAATTTATCGAAGACGAGGAAAATACAACAATTAAGCCCCTTTTATATAGGGTTTTAACTAATTTAATTTAAGTAGAAACAACTAAAGAAAGAATATTTTTATTTATTATTATTTTTTTAATAATTTGTTTTGAGACTCGTTTGAACTTTTTTTAAACTATTGGGACTATGTTTGAAATTAGTTCTTTATTTTTCTTTTCTTTTCTTTTCTTTTTCTTTTATTTAAATAAGAAAGTATATTCATCATTTTACAGCTTCTTATTGAGAAATTGGATAAAAATGATGTTTTGCACAATCAAATGTGTAATTAAGGGTGAAAATGCCAAAAAATGAAAGGTGTGGACTTTTTAACAATAATAGTGAAAGTTAGGGATGTTATATGCTAATTATCCTTTCTTATTATAAGGCTAACAATTAGAACTATGGAAATAGAACTGAAAAGAAAATGACGAATACAAAGTCGAACAAAAACTAGAATTGCAGAAGGGGAAAGAGGAGAAGAAGAGAAGAGGAATCAGAGATGGACTTGAGATAAGAGAGAGAAGCAAATAGTTTATCCAATTTATCAAAGGCAAGTAAAATACAATGCATAAGCCCCTCTTATCTAGGGTTTTAACTAATCTAATTTAAGTAGAAACAACTATAGAAATTACATAAAATGCTTGAAGATATATAAAATAAACCCTATTTACTATTCCTAAAATAAGAATCAAACTAGGAAATTCTCCATATAATATATCTAATAGGATGGTGGGAACAATGAACAAAAACTGGATTTGTAGAAGAATGGGAAACAAGAAGAGAATAAGAGAAGAGGAAATGATGGAGGGAGAGGACTCAGAGGAGGAATCAGAGAGAGATGAGAGAGAAAAGAGAGTGTTTTATTCAATCTACGAGTCGCTAAATTAAAATTTATTTTATTTTTTGATGATCGTGGGTGTTTGGACCAACTTATGCGCATCTTGACTAATCCCACAGGGCTCTGAAGTTTACAGCCGAATATTCACCTCAGTGGCCCTAAGGGAACTCGAACTGGTGATCATTGGAGAGCAAATTCAAGACCTGACCACTGAGCTACCCTTTAGGGTTTGCTAAAAAAAATGCAAATATAAAATGTTATGTAATATGGTTTATGTAGAAAAAACTAAAAAAAAAAGGGTCAGCTCGATTGCAAGCATGAAATTTGCATGGAAAGAAAATAAATTCAAGGTAATTCAATAGCGTGGAACTTATTTGCATGGAAATTGTCAATTAAATGTATTTGATTGATTTAATTTTGAACTTACAAAATATTATACTTGTCCGGCTTTTATTGGTGGGTAGATGGGAAAGAGTGAATAGATGGGAGAGAGAAAGAGAGAGTGAATTCCTTAGAAAATAAAATCCTACTCCCCCTAAAGAAAAAATGATTTCATTATCGCCATGATTTCTAATTATGGGCGAGTTGACTGACTTTGCAGATTATTGAATTTAAGTAACAAGAACAGTTTTCACTTTTCACAACTCACCTTTTCTAAACTTACAAACCTTTTTTATTGTTAAGGAAATATGGAGTCTACAACTCAAATTCCAGAAAAATATTAGGCACCCAGAACTTCTATGTTGAAAATAAACTCCTGATGGGCCAACAAACATTTTTTTGGCATTTCCCTTCAATCTTCAATAAAGACGAGTAGGAGTTCACTGCTGTATTTAATATTATTTAGCATAATTACTACTTTATACTTAGTGGTTGACCAAAGAAAGAAGTGGAAAAATATTATTACACATGCAGAAGAAAGGAATTTTGTCTAAGATTCTATTCTCCCAAACAGATTTTTGCAGCTTTTGGCGTAAGACAAAGTGGTCGGATCACAAACTGTTACACGGGGGTACAATTCCTCCAGAACTCGGTTTTTTTTCTTCCTATGCTTTTAAATGGGCTTCACTCCTATGTCGATATCTTAGCAGGTTAATGCATAAATGTTTCCTTATCTTGCATGACTTACATATCTACCAATTCTGTCCTTGCTTGGCAGTTGATGTTAATTTAATTATTTCAAAAACTTATAAAAAAGATATACAAATCACAGATGATGCATGGATCATTATGAGCCAACAACATATGGCCACTTGCAAAGAAGCACAAAATGGCAGCCACCAACAGTGTTTTCTAAAATTTATATGAACGGTTAAAAAATATATAGTGCTCAAAAATCATATCTAAAACTACCTTGAGTTTGAGAAGCACGGGCAGCTTCAAATTCCCTCTGCAAACGCTCAGAAACTGTCTTGTCAGAGTCCCTAATGAAATCAACAGCTTTTAGAACCTCTACTATCTATTATTCATTCACTGAAAAGATAAGGTCTATATGAAAGAATAATAAAGCAGATTTTCCTTTGCATTACAAAAACACCATGATGACAATAATGATGATTGGAGCCTATTCTATATTTACAAACCCTCACTTGCATTTTTTTAACTTTTTACATCACTAAGCACTTCCCAGTTCTACAAAGGGGTGGACGAATTTACCCTGTGTTCCCAGGCAGGGCCCACCCACCCTCTGGAACATTCTTTTCATCATGAGCCCAAAATGATCCCATACGACATTGTCAGTATAAACCCAGCTCGTTAACATCTAATTGCAAAAAATGGGTAAAGAACAAGAACAGTAAAGAGAACTGAAGCCAAGCCTATTCAGGTGCAAGAAGTAAGACAAAGTGAAATAAAATTATCTTATAAAGTTGATGTTTCGTATTTTAAGCTGCAATGTCAAAGGAAGTCCATCAGCATTCAATACACATCTAGATAGAATATAAGGATAGACTAGGATTCAACATGTTAACCTAAGCCCAGAAGAGATTTACAAGATCTAAACGTGGTCCAGAATCCCCTGTGAACATGAACACTATTTCAGCCCCATTACAAATCCATGGATTTCGATCCTTCCCAATACAATCACAGTATATGAATAATACTCAACATAATCTAAGAATATCGGTAGAAGCAAACGAGGTCTAGATCTGGGAAGCCAACTTAGGCAAATCCCTTGTATTCTGGAAAGAACCCTAAAGCCAAGGCCTAACTCATTAATAATATATAATTGGTCCCATTACTCATATAGCTGAATCCAAACTTCAGTCTTATTTTCCAATGTCGATTGAAGCAGATTATTTTTACAATCATACATACATACAGTCATATTTCTTTTATAGATCAAAAACTTCTAACATCCTTCTAATTCCACAAACAAACAGTTGTCTTACAGACTTACACTATTGCAATTGTACAAGTTAATACTGGCCCAGAAACAATTTTAGATATTACCAACCAGATATGTAGTCATTGCTATCAGTCACTTTACAAAGAAATTCATCTCATGGATCATTCAAGCATCAAAGCCCGCAAAAACTGGAGAATTCACGCTTGAGGAAAAATGTCAATCATTTATGTCTAATCAATATATTTCCCTATATGCAGGAATTACAAGTACTCTCCAGTATTTGTACCTAGAAAGGCGCTCTTTTAGTGCTCCATGCCTTTTAATGATATTTGAAACTGCCAGGAATAACAAAAATGTACATGTTTGAAAACTGACGCATTACAAGGATACTTGAATCTTGAGATAACACAAATTATGCAAGAGAAAATACATCTCGCCCTGGCATTCTCCAGTTGCGCATCTTCTGCTTGCACAAAATTCTGGCACACAGAGAAAACAAGGGTATACCCATCAACATATGAAAGCAAGCAAAATAACTACAATGTCAGCCCGAATTCAGACTCCAGCGCTCCCCCAGCCAACCCCTCAAAATATATTTGATAATAAATAAATAAGACCAATTTTAGAAATAGCCATGTATGATATGGTATTGTAGCAAAAATCATGATATTGAAATCTTGCAACTCCTACATCAACTGTTCATTGATATGCCTATGACACATCATGGCATATATTACTAAGCTGAGATATGGGTAACAAGTACAACGCCAATAATAAACTTGTAGTGGACGATATAAATATTTTTTGCCATTAGATCAGAGCAAGCTACCTTTTCTAAACAGATTTGAGGAAATCAAATATTTTACAACCACCCAATTTCAGAATTTCTCTTGTTACATGACTAATAATATCGTGTAATTCTTTTGAATGGGACATGCTTCAAATTTGAGCAAGAAATGCCAACTATCTAAGTCATCCTTTCCTTATTTTATCCCCAATTTGTGCTAGCTCCACTTATAAGATTATAACCTCATCTCTGATTTGATTGTGACTAAACATCCATCTTAATCTACTCAATTCTATTCCGATTATTTTTTCATCATTTTTGCCTTTAATATCCCAACTTCCAATAGCACAGCACAAATCTATGTCCCTTCCACAAAAAGTGTGTGATAAGGAATGTTTAGAATGTTTATCATGCAAGAACAACAATAGAAGTCCCTTAAATAAATTTAGTATGTCTTACATGGATTTGAAACTTTTTCTGTTTCCAAATAGTAAAAGTGTAATATTCCATCCCAAAAATCATCATTTTAGATGATGAGTGCTGCTAACGCTTATAATTACAACAAACTAAGATTTGTTCCCAATAAACTTGAGATCGTTTACATGTTTACTTGTAATTTATCAAATTAAATTCGAAATACGAGAGGTTGGATTTTGGGAATGAATAGACAGCAACTGGGAAGTCAAATATATGTTTTATAATTTCCTTACTGGCCATGAACTGCTTATACCAAAACAGAAAGAGACATATTTAGGTCAATTTTATATATTCACGTAATCAAAATCAGGTGTCATGGTGCAAATTGCAAAACAATATATCAGGTCCCTTACTAACTATACAGCAATTTACAATTGATGTCTTCCTAAAGTAAAGCTGATAAAACATTTAGCATAATGGATTGCATAAGGTAGAATGAGAGAATGGCATACCCTCGGATCATTTTTTATAGCTACAAGTACAAAAAATGAACAGCTTCTAAACAAATTAATGGCCTTTCTATTAAACCCATATGCACAGACAACAAAAGAGACATATACAAAGAACTAAAATTTAGAAATTATCAATCAACGAAAACTGGTTTGGAAAAGTTACCATTTCTCCCATATTCCTTGGGATAGGCCTCTCCTTAACTTGATCGAATTGTTGCATTTATTCGAAGGTTCCTATTCAGAAAGGCACGGATCATAACTCTAACATATAAAACTTGCGAATAAAAGAGGGTAAAAAACAGAGCAAAAATCAGATGAATGATGAAAGTATGATTAAAGATTGAAAATTTTCTTTCAAATTGAAACAAATATGCATAGAAAAACTTTATGAAAGTCGATTTCGTTAATTAAAAGCAGCAAAAATTAAGAATAATAAAATGATACGAGGGAAAAAGGCATATCAAGTAGAGTACCAAAACCTTGTAGAATTCAATGCCCAATCTCTTGAATTTCTCTGGTTTCTATTTGATGGCGTGAGTCACCAAAAGCACCTGGACGGGCAGGCAGTGGGGTGAGATTTTGGCTCGGCGATGCTGATGCTGATGCTGGGAAAGACCTCGTTTGGTTTTAGAATAAATATTTTTTTTTATCAATTTAAAATCATGGCCCATCTGTTAAAATTCCTTCTTCTTTTTTTTTTTTTTTTCAAATTCATTGTTTTATTATTTCACTCACGCGTTTAATTATATTCTATAAAAATATGTTAAAAATTTAATTTTTAACTATATCAAAGAGGACTAAGTTAAAAATAGAGAACATTAGGATTGGATTTCTTACCTTTTAGATAATCTCTCTAATTTATTTAATTATCATTATGTGATGAAAATTGACGATGTGATTATTAACATTGCGTGTGACTTTCACGCGATAGAGGGCAAACCCATCAAATTGATTATCCTTTTCCTAATTTTAACATGAATCTCGCATTGTTAAATAAATTGGGGAATTAAAGTTCACTTCCAAAGACTAAGCCCCTCGTTTGATGCATATTAAAAACTTTTTGTTTTTTTTGGGAGGGGGGGTAGCATTTTGAAATAATGAATTTTTGAAGAATATGTGATTGAAAATGAGTTTTAAAAATAAAAAATTGGAGAATGATAGATAAACAAGGCTAAGAATCATTTTCAGACCAAGTTGAGGAACAATTTTCTTTTAAAAATAAAAATTTAAAGACTTTTATAATTAAATAAAATAATTATTTTACAAATATAATTCTAAAGTAATTAAGAATGAGTTGGCCGACCATTTGCCAATTAAAGCAGTGTTAGTGGTGCTACAGAACATTACTTTATATATATTGATGTAATATGAGTACATGTTATAGGTTCTCCATCATTTCCCATGTATTGTCGAAGAACTATCAAAAATACCAAGATATATATGGAACTATTCAAAGAATGTTGTTGTGATACTTTCGGAATAAATATGACAATCATTATCGCACTCAATGAATTCAAGTCAAAATATCAAATTGAAGACAAGATTTCTGAGACGGATGTAGATCAAGTAACTTAATCATGACGTAACGTCTAGAAATAAGTATTTACATAGTTTAGCTTTTAATAGTATTGATTTCTATTCAATTTAGCCCCTGTTTGGCCCCCAATTTGTGAAAATGAAAATTGGTGGAATAGTATTTTTTTGAAAAATGAATGATTGAAAATAAATGAAAAGTGTTTGATTTATGTGTAATATTTTTTATGAAAGATTGTGTGGTTGAAAATATTAAAGAGAAAAAGGAAATGCAGTTGAATAGAAATTAATTGGGGCCAAACGAGGGCTTAATAAATTTTTTTTAATTTCTAACACAAGCGAAGAAATATTATTGTCTATTCAACCCTCTTCTGTTTATTTCGACTATCCTTCTTTGTCTTATGCATCATCCATTCCTTAGAAAATAATCACTTCCACTGCCATTTTTATATTTCAGCATAGGGAGGTGGATGAAGTAATTTATCGAAACAGAAATGTACGCACGAGAGGTGTAAAATTTTGAGATACGTATGGAGAAAATTATTTCTTATGGGGTCTTCAGTAAAATTTTTCTTAGGAAAATTGCACCTTTCCTCCCTAACCTTTACACTCTTTGACGCTAGTTGCCCTAACTTTTTTTCTTCGCATTAATGTCCTCAGTTCCTCACATATATGAAAAAATGATTTCCACCAATGGAAAGGTCTGAAGTTTATGTTAAACACACGCGACGCTCACGTGACCAAAATCCGAGGTTACTAATTTCCAATGCAAAAATTGGTTTCCCATTATTTCAACTTTCTATCTTTGAAGTAAGAAATAGTTCATCTTTAATTCCATTTTTCATTTTTCAGAGGTTTACGTTATAACTCAGAAAAAGTCGCATAGCAAGAATAATGAAAAGAGACGAGGAATTCTATTGTAGATTTTTCCAATGTTATGTAATGGGTAAGTTGCTTTACATATTTTTGTTATGTTAAGCCCCGTTTGAGCACCATTATAATTAGATATTTTCAGAAAATATATTTTGTAATAGTAATATTTTGAAGAATGTGTGGTTAAAAAAAGAAGAAAATTTTTGGATTTACTTGTAACATTATTTTATTGGAGAATGTATAGAGCTTGTTTGGTAGGGATTTTGATAATTAATTTTTTGACCGTTAGAAATTTAGTGAATTCTACCCGTGAGAGAAGAATTCAAAAATAACGGGTAAAATAAAGAAATAACAGTCAGAAAATTGATTTTAATTGACTTTTAATCCGTAACAAACATGCACATAGTTAAAAAGAAGAAAAGGGAAAAGTGTATTATCAAATTAATGGGGCCCAAATAAGAGCTTATGCATACTTGTGTGTAGAATTTGATATTGTTTATTGTAAGTAATTAGGGAAAAAAGGAATATTGCAAGATACATAAGGTCGTATGTTTTTTGTTGTGGTAGAATTAAATTTGTTTAATATATTTCAATATTTAAAAAAAAAATTAAAAGAACTTTTCTCACTGCAAAAAGCTTTCATGGTGTTTTTTTTTTTTTAAAAAAGGAAATGAATAAATATATCAAATATAGTAAAATTAATTGCCTTGACTGCTTGATACAAATTTTTATCAAGGTTAAAACTCTATTCTATACGAGAATTGTGTGAAAAAAATCAAAGATGTCTTAAAATAACGGATTGGTAAGTCTAGTAAATAGTTTTCGGCATGGTAAAAAAATCTTAACAATTATTGCAATTCCTTGATATTTTCATTGTAATTATTTTATTTATGAATTCACTTTATAAGGGCAATTAACCATTAGAAGAGTCATTTGATATTAGAAAGTCATAAGGGCTCAATTTGCAATTTTGATGGTTTAGAGACCAAATTGCAAGTGAGAAGATTTTAATGTTCTTTGTATTGAAAATAAATTGTTTGAGATTAACAATAAGTTTCGAGGTTTAGTAGTCTTTCTGACTCATTGCACCTTTTGACAAGTTTGGAGTTAAATTAGCAATTTTACTATTTCTCATATACTAAAGTCTAATTTCAGCGAACTGTATTTTTGCTGTACAAAAGGCATGTAGGTTTGAATTATTTAGCCCTGTTTGACAGCTCTATTTTCCGCCCAAAATGTATTGTTTGATGATCAAAATTTTTCATGGAATTGTTTTTCTACCCCACCCCCTACACGACCCATTTTCTAGTTTTTTAAGGAAAACCAATTTTCATGGTTTTGGTGGGAATTGGGTTTTCCAACTTTTTTTAAAATTTCAGGATTGCGAACAAATTCTATTAATAATAATAATAAATAAATAAATCTTCCTTTAATTGACAATTTTTATGAAAAATAAAGCCAAACGAATACCAAAAGATAGAATATTTCACAATTTTTCAGGTAAAAAATTATACCAATCAAACACATTTAATTGACAATTCTCTGGAAAACAAGTTCTAGGTAATTCAATTCCCTGAAATTCGTTTTTTTCCATCCAAATTTCATTCTTGCAATCAAACCGGACCTTAGTGTTATCTGGTGGTTTGATTCAGTTAAAAAATTTGATTGAAATTTAAATTATAGTAAATGATTAATTTTGATTGCAAATTTTTTGGGATTCACAGTTTTTCAACCATACATTCTATTAATTTCTATCAAAATCTATTAAAAATATAATTTTTATCTACTAACTAAAGGATGGGTGGAAAATATCTATTAAAGTACAATGATCATTTTGAAATATTTTTCAGTTAAATGATAGATTTGAAACATGAACAAAAGTTCAAGGACTAATTGATTACTTTTAAATGAGAGACATAAGTATAAAATAATATAATAAATGATCTAAAAAGATATTGATGCAAATCTAAAAAATATACACAAGCGAAGGAAATGATATTCTTATAAGAAAAGAAAATTTTCGGCTCAAATTAACTGATTTCAACTTAAAAACTTCATTTTATTAAATTAACGAGTAAAAAAGATATAAATGAGCACGAAAACTTGTAAGCATAAATTTAAGGTGTTGCATTGTAAGATAAGAAAAAAACGTCGAAAATGACATAAAAAAAAAAAAAAATTCAAGTTGGGTTCAAATTAACTTTAATTCAATGTTTATAAAAAAAAAAAAAATTCAAGTTGGGTTCAAATTAACTTTAATTCAATGTTTATAAAAATCATTTTCTTAATAAACAAGTTTAAAAAAATACAAACACGAAGCACACAAACCTGTTAATTTAATTGTAGGAGGTTACACTACGAAATATTGCCCCAGTTTGAACCCCATTTTGTAGAAATGGAAATGAGTAGAATATTATTTTTTTGAAAAATTAGTGGTTGAAAAAGAATGAAAAGTATTCGATTTACGTGTAATATTATTTTATGAAAGATTGTGTAGTTAAAAATAGGACAGAGAGAAATAGAATGTAATAAAATGAAAATTAACGGAGGTCAAACGGGGGTATTATAAATGAAGATTTATTGCAAACCTAAAAAGCATACATAGTTAAGAAAAAAATCTTCCTATAAGAAAAAAACAAGCTAGGTTGACAGTCGTCTAGTCAATCCCGCTTGCTCTTTTCTTTGATAGACATCGTTAGGTTCTCGATCTCATCCGACGAAAAACTTTAGGTCCTTATGGATTAGTTCAAATTAACTTTTCTTAAAACAAAAAAATTAAAAAATCTTATTTTCTTATTTAAATAATAAAAGAGATATAAATACGAAATACAAAACCGTTAAAATTAAGAATAGTAGATAATCAAGTAGTAGAACATTATAATAAAATATTCAAAAGAATTTTTACTCGATTGATGTTGAATTCTCTTCTCTAGTCAATAATATATTAAAATAAATTAAAAGAGAGTTCTTCATAACTAGGGTCTAGAAAAATAATTATTCTAGATGTATATGAACTTTGTACAGATAGATTGACGGATGGATTTGGACGCATTCATCGTCAAGCTATTTGTACAAATTTTTTGTACAAGTAGCAAAGTTCCTAGAAAAATTAGACATTGTTGTGATAGTTAAACAGGCAGCCATTGAATTTCGTGCAAAATTTTAAATTGCTTTTTAAAGTATCTTATGACATATTTAGTCATCGACCGCAAAA